ACAGGTAGTGGTAGGAATGGATGAGAGGCTGGATGAATGAATGGATGGGTGGGTAGGTGGGTGAATTAATTGATGGGGGTGGATGGATGAATGGCTGGATGGATGTTTAAGTGACTGTATGAGTGACTGAATGGATGGATGGATGAGTGACTGGGTGGGTGGGTGGGTGGATGGATGGATGAATGAGTGGATATATGATGGATGGGTAGACGGATTGATGGCTGAGTAGGTGGGTGGGTGAATGGATGAGAGGATGGATGGATGGATGGATGGATGAATGGATGGATGGATAAGTCAGTGTGTGTGTGGGTGGATGGATGGATGAGTGGATGGATGGACGAGTGGGTGGATGGATGGGTGGATGGATGGATGGGGGTGTGGATCAATGAGTGGGGGAGGGATGGATGGGTGCATGGATGGATGGATGGATGGATGAATGTTTAAGTGAATGTATGAGTGACCGAATGGATGGATGAGTGACTGGGTGGATGGATGGATGAATGAGTGGATATATGAATGGATGGGTAGATGGATTGATGGATGAGTTGGTGGGTGGGTGAATGGATGAGTGGATGGATGAATGAATGAATGGATGGATGGATGGATAACTGAGTGGGTGGGAGGATGGATGGATGGGGGTATGGATCGATGAGTGGGGGAGGGATGGGTGGGTGGGTGGGTGGATGGGTGGAGGAAGGGAGGCATTGATTGATGAGTGGTTGTGTGGGTGGGTGGAAGAAAGGGTGGATGCATGGATGGATGATTGGGTAGTTGGATTATTGGATGAATGGTGGGTCAGTGGATGGATGGATGAATGCATGGATGCATGGATCGATGAATGGATGGGTACCCACTGGTTTGATGGATGGATGGATGAGTGACTGGGTGGATGGATGGATGTATGAATGAATGAGTGGAAATATGAATGGATGGGTAGATGGAGTGATGGATGAGTAGGTGGGTGGGTGAATGGATGAGTGGATGGATGGATGGATGGATGGATAAATGAATGGATGGGTGGATGGATAAGTGGGTGGGTGGATGGATGAGTGGATGGATTTAAGAGTGGGTGGATGGATGGATGGATGGATGGGTGGGGTGTGGATCGATAAGTGGGGAGGGATGGATGGGTCGGTAAGTTGATGGATGGATGGGTTAGTGGCTGGGTGGGTGGATGGGTGGAGGGAGGGAGGGAGGGAGGAAGGGAGAAATTGATTGATGAGTGGTTGTGTGGGTGGGTGGGTGGATGGAAGGGTGGATGCATGGATGGATGTGTGACTGGGTAGATGGATGATTGGGTAGATGGATGATTGGGTAGATGGATGGATGAATGGTGGGTCTGTGGGTGGATGGATGGATGAATGCATGGATGCATGAATCGATGAATGGATGGGTACCCACTGGTTTGATGGATGGATGGATGGATCATTGGATGACTGGGTGGTTGGTGGATGGGTAGATGGATTAGTGGGTGGATGAACAGATGGATGAGTGGATTGATAGATGGATGAGTGGATAGATGGATCTTTGCAATGAGATTAAGTCAGTCTAATGCACTTAAGACTTCCTACAGTCATTGCTGTTCCCAGCCCAGCTGTTCTATGTGCCATGAGGGAATCCCTGGCAGCAAATCACATGGCATTGGCAAGCATGCCACTCTAACACTCGGACACTGACACCACCAGGGAAGAGTTTATTCTGGCAAATGAATTAATTTATTCTGGCAAATCATTGTAGCATTCCATTTTAATGCTACATAATTACCTCATCAATGCCAAATATTATTTCTGAAGCGGTTGTGACTGAGGTCGAACACCTTTAAAAAGAATAAACCTGTTGAAATGCAGTGGAATCAGTCAAATGGAATGTTGGAAACAGGGTGTGTATGATATTTAGTTATAATAAAGCATTGGCATAGCAGGTGGGGATTTAGGTTTATCATTCATTCAAGCAAGAAATAAAGTTTTAAAATATTGTGAAAATAGATGGAAGAATTTGACCCTAAAATATATCAAATCCAAAAGGTAACAAAATGCATAAGGGATACTGGAAATGCAATTGTCTACGATATAGTGGCCATTGGGCTGTCAAACAGCTCATTGGACCAGCTGAATAGGAATTTTTACACAGTACATTAATCTAGCCTCACAGCACAACCCCCATACTTCACAATGAGCAAATACAGACATCTCAGCCAAGCTAAAGCAGGGGACCCGCAGGACATCACTTAACTCATAGAGTCCTGCAGAGTATTGCTAAATAATGCAAGAGGAAGCTGGGCAGACAGGAGGGACTGGCCCTTTTATGAGCAGAAATATATTATTATCAACAAACAAACGAAAGAAACACAGAAATGGGAAGCGCTATCCTGAACAAGCATTTGTCAAAATTAAAGTGCTATAGAAATCACGTTATAGGCAACACAGGGGAAAATCAGTGCACACACTATATGAAATGTACCCATCTTTAAAGACAATGTAAATAAACCTAGCTTTAACGAACACAACACGGGAAACAAGTGCTCAAAGTATGGTAGCTTCATATGTCCACTACACCAAAATATACCATTCTAATAGTTCTAAACCAAGTATTTTCTCTTAAGCGGTAATATTGTAATATTTTTCCTTTGTCCCCCCTACCCTCGTGGCCCCCCTCCCGTTGGTCTAAAGGGGTTAAAACCCCTTCAGCCACTTACCTTTACCCAGCACCGGGCTCCCTCTGTGCTGTTGACCTCTCCTTCCCCTCCGACATCAGCTCCTGAGTGGAGCCGAATGCGCATGCGCGGCCAGAGCCACGCGCGCATTAAAAACGTCCATAGGAAAGCATGTCTCAATGCTTTACTATGGACGTTCTGCGTGCTCAATGTGATTTTCGCACTGAGCATCGCAGAAGCGCCTCTAGCGGCTGTCAGGAAGACAGCCACTAGAGGCTGGATTAACCCTGCAATGTAAACATAGCAGTTTCTCTGAAACTGTTATGTTTACAGCTGCAGGGTTAAAACCTGGGGACCTAGCGCCCAGACCACTTCATTGAGCTGAAGTGGTCTGGGTGACTATAGTGGTCCTTTAAGTTAAAAAGGTTAAGTACAGTTACATTTTTGTTCGTTGAGTAAAAGTGGATGTCCCTCATAAATGAGTATTCAACAAATGTTTGCCTCATGGAGAACCCCCTAATAAGATGTTCTGTGCGTACCTATGCCTTTAAACACTTTTTAAAACTCTCTCCTAATTTATTTTTCCCCTGGTAAACCAAAATTAGTAAGCACGGTCTCAACTTTATCGTATTTTATCATGTTTTGTTATTTTGTACATTTTCAACTTGGGTAGCAACATTAAATAACTACCCTTCTAAATACTCAGGTAGGGTTACCATAACCACCATGTTTTTATGGACATATATAATGTATACATATTGATGGGCAGCACATGAAAAGGTCTGCCCTGTAGTATGCAGATTTCAGAAGAAGGTGTATAAGATTAAGTATATAGGCAATAAGAATCCTGCAGGATTTGTATTATACATACTGCTGGAAGCACTTCCCATGCATTTTTATAAATACAATAAAATTATATGTGTCCCTGAAAACGTGGTGGCTATGGTAACCCTGTCTATATATAGCATCCTAAAAGAGAGATATATAAAAAGATGTGTGTCAGGAATTCAAGTTTCGTGGAAGAATTCAGGGTCTACCTAAACCAGCACTATCTGTAAAATAAAATTCAAATCTTGTAACACCCATCGTTAAAACACACCCATCCACAAAAGTTGTGCCATATGTGTTATTTAATTTTCAAATGTAGATATAACTTGGGGTGAAAAGGGGTTTGTTACAATGTAATTAATGCAGTTTTGGACCCAGCAGAACTGGGGCATTTTGAGTCTAGAATGGCTCACCATGATTTGCTATCTATATGTTTTTAATTTCCATATTTTCCACCCAAACACTATCAGTGCTGATATGTGACCATTAGAACCAGTGATAGTCTATGTGATTGTCACAAAGTAGTTTTCAGAATTCATATTCTAATATGAATTCGCTATCCCCACTTGGCATCAGATCTATTGAACTGCTGATGATAAATAAGTTGAGCATTTTATGCTGGCATATGGTCTCTTAAGGGATCTGAATATAATGATGACATGTATTGTCGCCAGCCCTTACTGAGTTAAAAGATTAACTTGTCATTTCCATAATGTATAATTGTATTTTTTAATACCATACGCAGAGTATAAAGAGAACTGCAGTCTCCAGTTATCTGTAGGTGGGATAATTATGCATGATTCTTCTTTAAATTTTTAATTAAAGCATTTCCTGGCAATTGGGACTTTACAACACATTTCATTGTGAATAGAGAGCAGTTCTATGCCCTGAAAAGGTGCAGAGCCATCTCTTAACGCACGTCCCTGGCAATAGAGACAAATCTCTAGCTGCTCTGGGAAGGCAAGGCAGGCACAGAGATTGCAAGCTCTTGGGCACAGCAACCTTGCTTCCATTTCAGTCTGTTCCCTGTACTGTGTTGCTGATATTCTCTATCAATGATTATGATTTTTTTCAAATCTATCCTATCTCTCTTTTATCGTGTGCTAAGCAAAATACAAAACAATTTCCCTTTCATAAATGAAAGATAATCAGAATGCATGTACGTTTTCTTCAATCATGATAGGAGGGTGGGGGGTCATCCTCCCCCCCCCATCTAGCTGAGCCAACACTCTGTACAGAGCCGTAACCTGCAGCCACCGCTGGTCTCGAAATGTAACCCACCCATAATATGTTATATAGCCCTAGCTATGAGCTGACGATGAAATTTTCTCAGCAGTTTCCGTGCCTGTCTAACAGATTGGCTCTGAGTGTTACACCAAAGACCATCCATATTTATTAGCTACCTTTCCCGCTCTCCCTCCCTCTGCATCTCTGCATCTCTCTCTCACTCCCTCCCTCCTCACCATTCTTACATCTCTCTTTCCCTCCCTCCCTCCTTCCTAGCATTGCTGAGGCTCATAGATAGTCTGCGAAGGAAGGCATGTTGTGAGTTCTGCAGCATACTGACTAATCACAGGTGCCTTCCGTATGGTTTGTGCTTAAGGAGAAAATGAAGAACCCTTTGATCCCACCTTTGACAAAGTCCATCAGCCTCATCTTTTAACAGGCTACAAGGAATCGTTTTTTTAGATATAAATATACATGTTTTCCCAATGCCCCATTTTTTTTGGATAGTCGTGGAAAGCAGCCCTGGAGAACAGGTTTTTTAATTGGGGGGAGGGGAGGAGAAGTGGCACCCCATTTTTGCAAAATGTGGGGGGCTGCTGCTTGTTTCTTCCTCACGTCAAGCCTCCCCCCTTTGGTTCCTTCTCTTACCCGCTGGATTACCTGTGCCCTCTGGATGGATGAAAGAAGGTTTTCCTTACACTGACCTGGGTCTCTTTCTCTCTCGCTATCATTTTTGGATCACACAGAAGAAGAAGCACTAAGCGCCCATCTCCGACACAAAGCCAGGCAAGATTGGGGGTGAACAACCCCCACCCTCACAGACCTGCACCCCCTCTAAGCTAACATGGGATGTAACATGTGTGTGGTTCGGAAACCAGAGGAGCATTATAAAGTGATGCTGCAGGTAAGAGACAGAAGAGGTGACAATGATGGCATGGACAGAATGAGGAGGCACAGATGGCATAAACAGAATGCGGTGGCAAGACTTGGGGCAAAGGAGAGGGCAAAAAAATATGCATGGGAGATTATGGGGTGGTAACTGCGTTAGACGAAAAAAAAGATGCCTTGATTAGATAGAGTCTAATCTATAGCAGACTGGATGCTTGTGTAAATCAGATGGGCACGAGGAGTGGAGGTGGTCAATATTAGCAAATATAACTGTGAGTGTATGAAATGCATACAAGTGATAAAAAATAAAATAAAAAAAGATAGAGTAATAGTATAAAGAGTAATAAAGGGTTGTGAGATGCATAGCAGATTCAATCCTAATTCTAGATATCTTCCTTTGCCTACACACCCTCCGTCTCTGTCTTTTACACACCCACACACGCTTCGCTTCACACACTCGCGCACAAATAAACATATACTCAAACTAACACGTCTAAAACCAACACGCTGCCATTTGTCCATCTCCTTTGCATAAACAGTTTCCAACATACCAAATCGAGCTTTTGATTTTATGCACATTTTTCTTCTCTCATACGAACACTCACATACACACATACATACTTTCCCCAAAACAACATTCATACAAACGAGTTCACATATGATGTTATCAACACAACCAAGCTCCCATATATATTATATTCATATTATGTCTTACCCACATGCATGCACACTGTCTACACAAACTCTCACGTGTCACCTGCATGTGTATGAAAGGCATGTTAACCCCTTAAGGACACATGACATGTGTGACATGTCAGGATTCCCTTTTATTCCAGAAGTTTGGTCCTTAAGGGGGTTAATGGGCATTTTATGTCTTGCACATACGTGTTCTGGAACAGACAGATTATCCCTCTTTCTTTGAGTCTCACATGTGCTTCCATACAAAGCTACATACATTCTCTTTCACACGTGTTATCTCAGACACATGTATGCACACACACACATGCAGTGAAGTTGTAATACCTTCAGAATGTAGGTTCTTGCACATGACTTGTGATAAATCACTGTATCCAAGCGTACTGTGATTCAGCACTGGATAAAGTAATGACACCCAAGAGCCAGACATTTGTCATGTATTACATGTCTAGTTAATGTCACGTCTTTATTTGCTCTGGTGCGTTTTTATATATATTTATTTATGAATCCAAGCACGATATTCCTGGTTTTAAAATAATACATTTTAAAGATAACATTATTGCTTCTTTTAAAAAGCAATGTTTTTATCAGCAGTAAACCATAACACGTGCTTATGTATCCGTGTACGTGTTTTTGAATGCACTGTGTATCTATTCTGTGTGTCTGGTGCATGTATTTGTGCATTTGATTACATGGGTGTGTGTGTTAGAATTTCTGGCTTTCAAATGGAGAATGGGGGATGGGGGTAATATCACCAGTTAATTAATTTTGTAGGTGGTCTGCAACTGGTAATAGAAATCACATTTATATCTTCTTGTTTAATCTTATAGTTAGATGCTTCTTTTAAGCTAAAATATATACTCAAGTCCTATATTTGTGCGTTGTACATGTGCATGTTGATTTTACATACGTAGTGTTTTATTTAGGAGAATGAGGTTGCACTTATAACATATTTGGATAAAGAGGTTCCTGTACACCCTTTGCCATGAATTATATATACATTTCTTTAGGTCCCACAGGTTATACACCTGAGTGTGTTCATTAATCCCCCCCCCCCCAGATCCTCCCCATCACTTCACTTGGGACTAGAATTGTCAAATTAAAACCATGTTACAAGTCACAAAGAACCCTGGTACTCTTACTAGCCCACAGCATCAATTCTGTTCAACTACTAAGCCTTTCCTTTTCCAGTCTAATGCTGGAAGGACATGCCAAATTATTGCATGTCATTTAAAGGGCTTGCGGGGTGTGATGGACCCCTGAAGATGGTAGGGCTGCGATGGACCCCTGAAGATGGTAGGGGTGTGATGGACCTCTGAAGATGGTAGGGGTGCGATGGACCCCTGAAGATGGTAAGGGTGCGATGGATCTCTGAAGATGGTGGTGGTGTGATGGACCCCTGAAGATGGTAGGGGTGCAATGGACCCCTTAAGATGGTAGGGGTGCGATGGACCACAGAAGATGGTAAGGTTGCGATGGATCCCGGAAGATGGTAGGGGTGTGAGGGACCTCTGAAGATGGTAGGGGTGCGATGTACCCCTGAAGATGGTAGGGGTGCGATGGACCCCTGAAGATGGCAGGAGTGCAATGGACCCCTGAAGATGGTAGGGGTGCGATGGATCCCGGAAGATGGTAGGGGTGCGAGGGACCTCTGAAGATGGTAGGAGTGCGATGGACCCCTGTAGATGGCAGGAGTGCGATGGACCCCTGAAGATGGTAGGGGTGCGATGGATCCCTGTAGATGACTGGCAGCAAGCTGTTGGCCCCTCGGGTCAGTAGAGTTATTCTACGCAGACTGCAGCATGGCACTGTGTAATGAATGGGGTGGGAGGGCTCAGTCTCTTGGAGGTGCTCGGTACTGATCTATTTGGACCTGTCTTGTCTATTGTTTCCTGGCCTTTCCTTTCATTGTGCGATTTATACCCCTGCTGCATCTCTCCCTATTCTTTCCTGTATGCCATGGTTTCTCCCAAGCTATTTTATTTATTTCACCTTTCATCCTATTACATTTATATTTGCCCTTTCTTCCCCGTACCTTCCACGCTCCCCCTCTCGCCTCTTCTCTCTATTCTATCAGCGTGGGCTTACATTACATTTCTTCCAAATCTATAGTTTTACCTTTTTCACCCCCACCACCTCTCACTCTCTTTCTCCCTCTCTCTCTTTATTTTGTTCTCCTTCAATCTATTACTTGTTCTTTCATTCTCTGTCTTGCTTTCTCTCTCTCTATTGCTCATTCTGTCTGTCTCTTGTTCTCTCTTTCGCTCGGTCTCCTACTCTTTCTCTCACTCTCTCTATTGTGTTCTCGTTCTCGTTCTCAATGATTTTTTTCTGTCGCCCTCTCTATCCTGTTCTCAGTAATGTTTTATCTATCACTCTGTCTTATTATCTTTCTTCCCTCTCCTCTTCTCATACTCACACAAACCTTCTAAAACCACTCACACTGACCTTCTAAAACCACTTTCACTCACTCTAACCTTCTAAATCCACACTCAATCATACTAACCTTATAAAACCACTATTACTTCTGTTAATCTTCTAAAACCATGCTCACTCACACTAACCTTCTAAAACCACTGTCACTCACACTAACCTTCTAAAATCACGTTCACTTACAGTAACCTTCTAAAGCCGTGCTCACTCATAATAACCTTCTAAAGCCATGCTCACTCATACTAACCTTCTAAAACCATGCTCACTCACACTAA